CTTCCGTCCTCCTCGCGGGCGAAGTTCGGGTCCGCCAGCCCCCGCAGCAGGAAGTCGGCCCCCTCCGCGTGCTGCTGCAGGACGCAGCCGAACAGCAGCGTGCCCAGCTCGGGCTGGAAAGGGACACGCACCAGCTGCAGGCAAACGGAGTCCCCCAGCTGGCCCACCTCTGGAGGATCGACAGCGGCCCACAGACGTGGAAGGGTGCGGGCAGGGGGTCCAGCGCAGGCACGGAAAATCCGCGCGGGCCCTCCGAAAGCGCACGCCGATGCAACTTGTTCCAGACATCGGTAAAGATATATCAATATATATATATATATATATATATATAGGTACGTGTGCACATATATATATATATATATATGTGTGTGTGTGTGCATGCATGCATGCATGCATGCATGCATACCTACCTACCTACCTACCTACCTACCTACATACATAAATACATAAATACATAAATACATAAATACATACATACATACATACATACATACATACATACATACATACATACATACATACATATATGCGTTGGAGGTCTGGAGGTGAGACCGCAGTGGAAGCCCCGCCACCAGAAATCGAATTCGGCTTCGTGTTTGGGTCGTGCGTGCGGGCGAGGCGAAGCTGCGTGGGCGCGCGCGAGAGGAATGACCCCGCCGTCGCTAGTGCGATTCGGATGCAGTGGGCCGCCTCTCCGCCCCTGGCGGGCGCACGGTGGCCCGGGGTGTCCCGCCGTAGTGTCCTGTGGTTTCCCGTTGGTTTCCCGTTGGTGTCCCGTCGGAAATCCGTCGGCGGTGGACGGGCGATGGCCGGGGGGATCCCGCTTTGGTGTCGATAGTGAAGTCGATCGTGAGATCGATAATGCGATCGCTAGAATGGGATGGATAGTGAGATCAAAAGTGAGATCGACAGTGAGGTTGATTGTGACATCGATAGTGGGATCGGTAGTGCGATCGGTAGAGGATTCGAATGCGAGATCGATAGTGAGATCAAAAGACGGATCTAAAGTAAGATCTATAGTGAGGTCGATAGTGAGATCTTTTGTAAGATCGGTCGAGTGTGATCGTTCCTGTGAGGTGGTTAGTGGGCTCGATCTAGTGAGATCGAAAGAGGGGACGGTAGCGACATTACATTGCAGCGCAACGTCGTCACCACGCGTCGTCGCCAACACGAGGGCGCCTCACCAGTATCGTCACCACCACACCCATCACAGTTGCCAGCATTTGGTTCGTTCCCCCCGATTCTGCGACCTCCTTATTACCCGAAGCGTGGTCGTATAGGTATGTATATGTGTATACATCTATAAATGTATATACACACACACCTCTGCAGATATAAACACCTATCCGCCATCGTGCCCTTGAGACACGAGTTTGGGTGCCCTCCGTCCTCATGTCCCTTGGCCAATCCCCTGGAGCCTCAGCCCTCCATCCTGAGGATCACCCTGGAGGCCTGGACCTCCGATGCCCAAATCAGCTCGGGCTTGGCGCGCGCCTTCTGAAGCGCGTGGCGCCTTCCCCCAGGAGGCCCCGAGACGGGCCAAGGGGGCAGGCCAGAATCGTTGATCTCCCGTGGGTGGTTCAATGTTCGGCGGGTCCTCGACGTTTCGCGCTTTCGACGCTCCCGAGAGGCCCCCAAGACAGCCCGAACACGGCCCAAGCGGCCCCCGGGAGGGTACCGACACGGCCCGAGAGGGCTCCAAGGCGACCCCAGAGGCACCAATGACGGCCCAAGAGGGCCCCAAGACAGCCCCAAGAGAGGCCCCAGGGGTGGAACACGAACCGAACATTTTAGTCCTCTGTCCCAAGAGGCCCCCAGGAGGCCCCAAGAGGCCCTCAAGAGGCCCCATGAGACCCACAAGAGGTCCCCAAGACGCCCCGAGAAGCCCCACAACGGCCCTCAAAAGGCCCCAACACGGCCCCCAAACGGCCCCCGAGAAGCGTCCCGCGACATCCCAACGAACATCCTAGAGGCCTAAGGCCCACAACCCAAACACAATGGCAAAATGAGCCGAAGGCCATTAGCCTTGGGCCGGCACGGGAACGGAAAGAGCGCCGCAGGAACTAACCAGAGAGGACTCCTGCACCCTTCGCTCTGGGGAGCCTTGCGTGAAGAGCTTGTCGCGTCATCGCTCTCTGTTGGGAGCCCTGTTGTTCAGGGCCTTCTAGAAGGTTTCGCCCCAACTCAACGTACATCGCTCGTACCTCGCTCGTTCTGTCACCTGCTTGGCATGGGGACGGAAAGCGCGTTTATTTTGTGAGGGCACGAGGTCGCTGGCTCAGTGTTTGAGCCCTGTTGGTGCTAAGGCCTCGGCACGACATACAAAAACCTAGCAACCAACCTTGCGAAAATCCATGCGTATTGCATGTCTGAGTATTCCTAGGGGTAAATTGGGAGCTCTTTTGGGCCGTTTTCGGGCCCTTTGGGGGCCATCTGGGGGCCCTCCTGGGTCCCCTTGGGGGCCTCCTGTGGCCCTCTTGGGGCTCTCTTGGGAACCTTTTGGGGCCCTCAGAGGCCTCTCTTGGGCCGTCTTGGGGCTCGCTTTGGCAGTCTTGACGCCCACTTGGGCCATCTTTGGGGCCTCTGGGGCAATCTTGGGGCGATCTTGGGGGCCTCCTGGGCCGTGTTGGACGCTGTGAAAACCAACGAAGCGAAGATGCTAATACAAATACACGTTTTTCCCAGGGAGTGGGGCAATGTGTGCCTCTTGGGGGTCCCCTTTGGGGGACTCTTGGGGCGTCTTCGGGGTCTCTTGGGCTTTCTTGAAACCAACTTGGGCGTCTTGGAGCGCTCTTGGGCCGTCTTCGGGCCCTCTTGGACCACCTTTCCGACGCCGTCGCGGAGGTATCCTGGGCGCTTTGGCGGCTGTCTTGGGCCGTTTGGGTGCCTCTTCGGCGCCCTTGGGGCTGCCTTGGGCCGTCTTGGGCCGAACATGGCCGACATTTGGGACATTGGATCCGCGCCCGTTTCTGATACCCCATCCCCTCCCCTGTTCTTTCTCCAGACTGACGGATCGCGACGCTACGCCACTACGCGCGCTTTCCAGCATCCGCCGCCCCCTGTGGTCTTGCCTCAGGGGCGCACGGCGTGCGGAATATCTGGCAGGCTCTTGGCCCTTGTCCGAAAACTCCGCCGCGGGCCACGCGGAAAGCCTGGGAGACCGTATTGTCCGCCGATGTTCCCATCCAGAATGGCCCCGAGATGCCCCGAGGTGCCCTCCAGGACGGCTAAGATGGCCTCTAAGATGGCCAAGATGGCCCCGAGAAAGCCCCAGATTGCTGCCAGATGTCTCTCTCCAAGAAGGCGCCAGATGCGCTCAAGACGGCCCAAGATGGCCTCCAGAGGGCCGAAGACGGCCCAGGAGGCCCCAAATAGGCTTCCAAGATGGCCCAAGAAGGCCCGAAGAGGCCATAAGTTGTTCTAAGCGTCTAGCATTTGTTTCTGTTGGGCCTGCCGACGGTCCAGGACGGCACAAAAGGCTCCCAAGATCGACCCAAGAGCGGCCCAGGGACCTCCAAGATGGCCGCACGACCGCCCAAGAGGCTCCCATGACGGCCCAAGAGGGCCCGAAAACGGCCCACGAGGTTTCCAAGACGGTCAAAATGGCCTCCGAGACGGCCCTGCAACGCCCTAAGAGGGCCCCCAGTCAGTTCAGAGAGGTCCCCGAGACGGCTTCCGGCGGCGTCTCATGGCTGGGAACGCCCTAAGGCGGCCAAAGAGGACCCTAAGAAGCCCCAGAAGACTCCCAAGAGGCCCAAGGAGGCCCCCAAGAAGCCTCCAAGAAGCCTCCAGGAAGCTCCCATGAGGTTCCAAGAGTGCCCCTCGAGGCTCACAAGATGACTCCGCATTCTCCTCCTCATCCTCCTCCTTCTCCTTTGTTCTCCATCTCCTCCTCTTCTCTGTCTCTTGCATGTGTTCCCCGATGGGTTTCCACAACGGCTGGGGGAACGCATGGTCCAACAGCGTGGCCAATTTTTACCCTGATTCGACGTAGGAGTAGTCGATATGTGCTACATCTCTACATGCAAATACACACGTGCGCGCGTGTGTGTGCTTCCCAGTGGAATGTAGGAGAAGAGGGAAGGAGAGAGAGAGAGAGGGAGAACCCAAGGATATGTAGGGGAAGAGAGAGGGCGAGGAAGAGGGAGACCGCAAATGACCACAAAGGCAAACATCTGGAACCTGCCTGGAGAAAACAAAAAGCACCGATACCGCTACTCACCGGCCCTCTCCCGGGGTGCGTTCAGACCAGTTTCGAGGCGAAGCCAGCGATGGCGACGAGGGCCTCCCAGGGGTTGCCCAACAAGGAGAAAACGGGCGAAGGGTAGCGGTATGGACATCCTTGCCTTCTGTGACTGGCTGCCTAAATAGGGGGCAAACTAACCTACCTCGCTTTTGACCACCCTCGCTTCCAAGAGATACCAAGCGATGCCAAACTACGGCCTGTACTGGTCAGGCCGCTTGACGAGGAGGCGCGTGGTATGACTCGGTTTTGCCTGGAAGCGAAAGCGGGGCAGGCAACTCACGCTCTGACTAAAAGAACTGACTCTGCCGTTGCTGCTCCTCGGCCACCTCGGTGCTGTCCTCCAGGAGGCCGAAGTCGCCGTGCAGGAGCCGCCGGAGGGCGGCGCGCGCCGAGGGGGGCAAGCGGCGCAGGGGGGGGGGCTTATCTTGCAAGGCCCCCGGGAGCTGCCGAGAAGGCCTCCGACGACGACGACGACGACGACGACATCAACAACAAACGATCGACGAACGCACGTTCGACGACGAGCGAGCGAGCGACGACGACCGACGACTGTGGACGACGTCGGTGGACGAGCGATTGGCGAGGGCGATGAGAGGGTCCTCGAGAGAGCGTCGGCTCGAGAGCGCCCTGCAGGCGAGTCCAGAGCCAGGCTCGCGGACCCCTGGCCAGGCCGACAGTCTCTCTGCCTGGCTATGCAGACAGACGTGCAGCAGCACATCACCAGAGAACGTCATCAACAACAGTATCAACACCATTATCATCATCGGAGCATCTGCGAAGGCCTCCGAGACGCCAGTAGGGCTTCGGAGAAGCCCACAGAGGGGCGCCTCGCCTTCTCGGAAGGCGCCCCCCCCCCCCAAAAGGCCAGGCCAACGGCGATGTTGGCGCACGGCGATGTTGGGAGACTGGCTGGTGCGACGC